TAAGTGAAGGGATCCCTGTACCTCTGGAATATTTAATTTGAAAGACAGAAACAGTTTGCCTCTTCTAGCTCACTCTTGAAATGCCTACAACACTCAGGGCTGGACCAGATCGAAACCAAGAGCCTGGAACTCCCTCTGGGTCTTCAGTGTGGGTGGCAGACCCAGGGTCTTGAGCCATCATCTGCTGCCTCCCAGGGTGCACACTGACAGGAAGCTGCACTGGAGGCAGAGCCGGGACTTGAACCCCAGCCCTCTGGGATATGGGATGCAGGCATCCTAACTGCTGCACGCCTCTGGCTACTTCTTGTTGTATTTGACACGCTGTGGGAGTCTGACTGTAGTGGCCAGTGTCCTTGATGCAGTGAGTGGCGGGGCTGGAGGGAGCTGTGAATATTCTTTTGAAGGCTGCTAAGCTCTTTTACAAGTGTTCATGTTTGCAGATTTTGGTGCAAACAATGCATTTTAATGGGATTATTCTAAAGTCTTACTTTTTTCCCCCCTCTAACAATATCTAGTCATCCTCCCAAGCTGAATAATTATAAAAATCTACCTCCTCATTCATTAATTCCTCCAAAAATGTGCCAGCTATTACTCTAGCTAACAAGATGTGGCTGTGAGTAAATCAGGGACTTCACATTCTTTTTAATGGCTGAGTGATGCCCATTATATTGAATGTGCTTAAGAAAAAAAAGGATTTTATTTATTTATTTGAGAGGTGGAGTTAAAGACAGAGAGAGGGAGACACAGAGAGAACCATCCTCTGGTTCACTCCCCAAATGGCCACGACAGCCAGAGCCGAGCCAGTCTGAAGCCAGGAGCTTCTTCCGGGTCTCCCACGCAGGTACAGGGGCCCAAGCACTTGGCCATCTCCCACTGCCTTCCCAGGCCGTAAACAGAGAGCTGGATCTGAAGAGGAGCAGCCGGGACAGGGACTGGTGCCCTTACACGATGCTGGCTCTGCAGGTGGAGGCTTATTTAGCCTTCTATGCACAGTTCCAGCCCCTCTAACTTTTTTCTTTTGAAATTGTTTGTTAGAACTCCCATTTGCTGGTTTACTCCCCAAATACCTGCAACTGCTGGGCAGGGGCCTGCGCGAGTGGCCAGAACCCATCACCTTGCTTCCCAGGGTTTGCGTTAGCAGCAGGTTGAGCGCAGGGGCCAGAGCCAATATGTGAGGCCACCATCTTCGCTGTCCCCCTCATTGTCTTTTATTTTTTTTTAACAAATGAAATGAATGAATGCACTGTGTTACATTTTCCTGCAAATTACCTATTTCTGGCGTGTAATTTTTTTCTTACAGATACACCAGTTAGCTTACTGTGGCTTTGATCAGTCTGTTTGTCTTTCGGCTTTCACAGTTTTCTCAACATTTAGATATTTAATTCCTCTGAAACGTGTGTTGCATGTGCATGGGATGAAGTGACGGGATCTGGCTTCATTTCCAATGGATGATTCCTTTCTCAGCAGCACTTATGGAATTGTTTTCCTCGCCTATTGATTTTCCCATTTATTGGGGGAATCTTTTCAATGACTTTCCATTTTAGTCCCCTGATCTAACTGCCCGGATTATGCTGTCTTTGTCCTTGAGCTTCCAGGAACATGATTTTGATAAAATTTCAAGCTTGGCTAAGGTTAGGAGAATAGTACAGAAGACTTCTGTGTTGTCTTTAACTGAGCGCATCAGTGAGCACCTTCTGTGTTTCCTAGGATGAGACACATTCTCTTACATAATGTCAGTACATGATTTATAATCAGGAAACTTGCTATGGATACGTTTATCTACAATTCCATAGGCAAATTTTTTCAGGTCTTGTTTTTTTTTTTAAGATTTATTTATTTATTTGAACGTCAGAGTTAGAGAGAGAGGAGAGGGAGAGAGAGAGGGAGAGGGAGAGGGAGAGAGGTCTTCCATCCGATGGGTCACTCCCCAATTGGCCACAACGGCCGGAGCTGCGCCAATCCAAAGCCAGGAGCCAGGAGCTTCTTCCGGGTCTCCTACGTGGGTGCAGGGGCCCAAAGACTTGGGCCATCTTCTACTGCTTCCCCAGGCCACAGCAGAGAGCTGGATTGGAAAAGGAGCAGCCGGGTCTCAAACCAGTTCCCATATGGGATGCTGGCGTTTCAGGCCAAGGCATTAACCCATGGTGCCACAGCGCCGGCCCTAGGTCTTGTTTTCACTTGTTATAGAATTCTTTGCAGAATCTTGCGTTGCTTTTTTCCTTTTTTTAAAGATTTATTTATTTTACTTGAAAGGCAGAGTTACAGAGAGGCAGAGGGAGAGAGAGAGAGAGAATTCTTTCATCCACTGGTTCACTCCCCAAATGGCTGCAACGGCCAGAGCTGAGCTGATCCGAAGCTAGGAGCCAGGAGCTTCTTCTTCCAGGTCTCCCACACAGGTGCAGGGGTCCAAGGACCTGGGCCATCTTCTGCTTTCCCAGGCCACAGCAGAGAGTTGGATCGGAAGTGGAGCAGCCAGGACTCAAACCGGCACCCATATGGGATGCTGGCTCTGCAGGTGGCGGCTTTACCCACTACACCACAGCACTGTTTCATGACCTTGTCATATTTGAAATGTAACCAGGCCTTTCTTATAGAATGTCCCTCAGTTTAGATCTTTCTGTTATCTCAATGTGTGTGGGGGGTGATTTTTAAAATTGATTTAAAAAAAATCACACGCGAGGGGCTGGCTCTGACGTGTGGCTCCTCCCATAAGGGCGCCGGTTCAAGTCCCGGCTGCTCCTCTTCCAATCTGGCTCTCTGCTATATAGCCTGGGAAAGCAGTAGAAGATGGCCCAGGTGCTTAGGCCCCTGAACCCACGTGGGAAACCTGGAAGAAGCTTCTGTCTCCTGGCTTCAGATTGGCCCAGCTCCAGCCTTTGAGGACATTTGGGGAGTGAGCCAGAGGTTAGAAGACCTTTCTGTCTCTCCCTCTGTCTGTGACTCTGCCTCTTTAAAAAATAATTACCTGAGAGCCAGAACTTCCACCTGCTGATTTACTCCCCCAAATGCCTGCAGTGGCGTGGACTGGGCTCAGCTGAGCCGCAGCTGGGAACTGGGGAAACAATCAAGGTCTCATGTGGATGGCAGAATCCTGAGCTGTCACCACCGCCTCCCACAGTCTGCATCAGAAGGAGCCTGGAGTCATGAGCTGGAAGGCGGGTGCGAACCAAGGCACTCTGATATGAGATGCTGAAGTTATAACTGTTGGGTCAAACATCCTCTTTTTTGGCCTCTTGGCAATAATATAAAAGCATTATGTGAACACGTGATGTTCAAGGGCTTTATAGTGCTTCTTTTCATAGTTTGCCATTTTATATTTGTTGATTCCTTACAAATGCTAACATTTAGAAATTTTCCTTCTGTTTCATTTTCTTTCTTAAAGGTTTTATTCATTTATCTGAAAGTCAGAGAGGGGCAGAGAGAGAGAGGTCTTCCATCTGCTGGTTCACTCCCCAATTGGCTGCAATGGCCAGGAGCCAGGAGCAGCTTCTGGGTCTCCCATGTGGGTGCAGGGACCCAAGGACTTGAGCCATCCACGGCAGAGAGCTGGATCGGAAATGGAGTAGTCGAGATTCAAACCTGCACCCATATGGGATGCTGGCACTGAAGGCATTGGCTTTACCCACTACACCACAGCACCAGCCCCTAATTCTGTTTCAAGAAGCTCCTGGTTCCTGGCTTCGGATCAGCTCAGCTCTGGCCATTACAGCCATTTGGGGAGTGACCAGAGGATGGAAGACCTCTCTTTTTCTGGCTCTGCCTCAATGTAAATTATCTTTCAGATAAATAAAAACAAATTAAAAAAAAAAGATTATTTGAAAATTAAAGTGACAGAAAGTGGGGGAGAGAAAGTTCTTCCATCCATTGGTTAGCACCCCAAATGCTGGGCTCTGTCCTGCTACCTTCCCAGGTGCATTAGTAGGAAACTAATCAGGAGAAGAGTAACAGGGACTCAAACCAGGCTCCAATGCAGCCTTCATGCATCCCAAGTAGTGGGTTAGGCTGCTGCTTACAACGACAGCATCCCATGTCAGAGTGCCATTTGGAACTGCTCTGCTTCCAATTCAGCTCCCTGCTGGGGCGCCAGCGATAGCAGCAGAGAATGGCCTGGGTGCTTGGACCCCTACCACCCACTTGGGGGCTTCAAATTCCGGGCTTCTGGCTTTGGTTGCTGGAGCTGGGAGCCTGGAACTCAGTCTGGGTGTCTCCCGTGGATGGCGGAAGCTGCAGGAAGCTGGAACCACCTCACGGCCAAATGCCTGCCCCTTCCACAAACTTCTTGAGGACCTGTGTGTGCATGAATTTCAAAATATTTTTGTACCAAAATAAATGTACCTTTTAATTCCATTTTCTTTTTGCGTATAGGGACCCAACTACCTGGGCTATCTCCCACTGCTTTCTCAGCCCATAAGCAGAGAGCTGGATTGGAAGAGGAGCAGCTGGGATGAGAACTGGCACCGATATGGGATGCTGGCCCACAGGCAGAGGCTTAGCTTACTACACCACAGTGCCAGCCCCTTAATTCCATTTTCCATGAGCTCAGTGAATTATCCCTGTATAATCATGATATTTGTTAATGCAGATTTTCCTTCTTAATAAGCCAGTTTCCTTCCTGGTGAAATGGGAGTGCTGCCATTCCTGCTTTTCCTACTTTACAGCAGTAGATATGTGCTCTTCTTGTTTTTCTTATTTATTTGAAAGGCAGAGAGAAAGAGAGAGAGATTGATTTTCCATCTGCTGATTTACTTTGTAAGTGCCCATAACAGCTGGGTCTGGGCCAGGTCAAATCCAGGAGCCAGGTCTATATCTAGGTCTCCTGTGTGGGACCCAAGTACTTATACTACCACCTGCTGTCTCCCAGGTGCTTGGGGATCCAAAATGAGTTACAGGAGTCCCAAGATGAGGCTTTACTTGCTGTGCCACAGCACCTGGCACCTACTTTGGTTTCTGATGCAATATTGGGAGCTAATGTTAAAATCTCCCTTGTGTTCCTTCATCAGAGTAAGCTGCACATGGAGGGCTTCCGGAGCCTGAAGGAGGGTGAAGCAGTGGAATTCACCTTCAAGAAGTCCGCCAAGGGCCTGGAATCCATCCGTGTCACCGGGCCTGGTGGGGTGTTCTGTATTGGCAGTGAGAGGCGGCCAAAGGGGAAGAGCATGCAAAAGCGCAGATCTAAAGGAGACAGGTAAGGGGGGGGGGCGGCTGGCGTGGAGGGTGCTCAGAATGGGAAGAGCTCTCCAACCCTGCTGCTTCTGCTTCGTTGGACCAGACGGCCACAGCCGAAATGGAAGCTGGTGGTCCCTGGCCACATGCAGCTGGTTGGAGTGTGGGGAAGGCCCCCGAGAGGTGCCCTGCCTAGCACTTTGACACACGGTGAAGATAGTGCTGCCAACCTCCTCCAGTGGTCCAGGAGCTGAAGCAGACCGTGGATGCCTCACTCATGGGGCAGGAGGTTTGTGACAGAGGGAGAGAGAGGAGAGACAGAGTCTTCCATCTGCTCATTCACTCTCCCAACTGGTCACAAAAGCATGAGCTGGGCCAGGCCAAAGCCAGGACTCCATCTGGGTTTCTCATGTGGGTGGCAGGAATTCAAGTGCTTGAACCATCACTTGCTGCTTTCCTAGGCCCGTTAGCAGGAGCTGGATTAGAAGTGGAGTCGCTGGGACTGAGATGTTTCTGTTGCTTCTTTAAAAAAAAATTTTTTTTTTATTTGAAAGGCAGAGAGAGAGAAAGACCGAGATAAGACAGAGGTCTTCTATCTGCTGGTTTACTCCCCCAAATAGCTGCAATGGTTGTGGCTAGGCCAGGCTGAAGCCAGGAGCCAAGATCTTCTTCTGGGTCTCCCACGTGGGTGTAGGGGTCCAGGGACTTGAGCCGTCTTCTGCTGCTTTCCCAGGCACATTAGCAGGGAGCTGGATCAGAAGTGGGACAACTGGGATTGGAACCAGTGCTCATATGGGAAGGGGGTGCCACAGGTGGTGGCTTTGCCTGCTGTGCCACAGCACCCGCCCCTTCTGTTTTCCAAATGGCTGGTTATTGAGCTTAAAGCCCCCTCAGAGTGGGTGTGGCTTCTTAGAGATCATCCTTCCAGGGAAGTTTGGTCTCTGGGAAGGGAAGTGAGTGTTGGCGATGAATGCAGACTTGAGGCCAGGAGACCTTATTACTCTGGGGGGCGTGCTACCGTGTCTCGTGCCTGTCTTTCACCTTTGCTGTCTTCCTCTGTCCCAGGTGCTACAACTGTGGAGGTCTAGACCATCATGCCAAGGAGTGCAAGCTGCCACCCCAACCCAAGAAGTGCCACTTCTGCCAGAGCATCAGCCATATGGTGGCCTCGTGCCCCCTGAAGGCCCAGCAGGCCCCCAGCGCCCAGGGAAAGCCAGCCTACTTCCGGGACGATGAAGAGGAGATCCACAGCCCTGCCATGCTCCCCGAGGCCCAGAATTGAGCCGCAGGGGGTGGGGGCTGGTTTTTTGGCTATCAGGAAGTTTCAAGGAGCAGGCATCAACTGCAGAGTGGAGAAAGTGGGGACAGGGTGGGTTGGGGGGAGCTGGCATTGCCACGTATCCCAGGCTGGGGTTCACAGCATCACCCCTTTTTCCCTCATGCCGGGAGGAAGGAGTGAGGCAGGGAATTCCAACCATGCTATATCCAAATGCAATTAAGGGATTTGGGGGGGGTATCACCCTGTAGCCTGCATGCTTTATCTGAGGCCCCGCGTGCCAAATCTCTAGCTTTGCAAAGTCACCTGGATGGGGGAAGTTTTCCTTTGAAGGAAGGATATGGAATAATACTTCCCTAGCCAGAGTGAGAAGACTGGTTGTGGGACCAGATTCCTGGACCCAACCCCCAAACCACTACATCCTGTGGGAGGGACTCTCGGGAGTAAGGCAGGGTTTTCCACATCTTGTTTCCTCATAACTCGATCCTGGGACAGGGTGCTGGGAACTGTCCCAAGCAGTGGGTTGTGACGATCGGCAAAAAGGGTGGCTAGGGGAACAGTCACAGACCCGCTGCTCCTGAGCTCACTCCTGACCCCATTCTGGGCCAATGCGATTTATTTATTTGCTCCCTTGGATAACTGCACCTTGGGTCCCACTTTCTCCAGGATGCCAACTGCAACTATGTGCAAACGATGTATCTTGTGCATTTGAACTTTTTTTTTTTTAATATAAATAGTCTGGGTTTGTATTTTTGTATATTTTAATCAAAGGCCCTCATTCCTGCACTGTGTTCTCAGGTACATGAGCAATCTCAGGGATAAGTCCGCAGCAGCTCCAGGTCTGCACAGCAGGAAGGCTTTTTGTTGTTTTTATCACCATGGAGAGCAACTATTTGGAGTGCACAGCCTATTGAACTACCTCATTTTGCCAACTGGAGCTGGCTTTTTTGCCACAGTGTCCTCTTGAAACCCCCTCCACCTTGAAAATGTTTCAGGGAGATGAAGTGTTAATGGGGTTGTCCCATGATTGAGCTCCTCCTCCCGGAAGATTGAAAATTAGTCTGGACAGGAAAATGCAGAGAAGTCAGGCCATGCCAGCTGAAAGGCCGAGAGAGGAAGCCATGGTCAAGGTTGCCTGACCCTAGGACACAGGTCTTTTGCTTCACTTAACAGAGCCATCCTTCACCAACCAGATTTAGGCGAGGCCCACTATGCACAACAGGGTGTGTGTGTTTGTGTGCACACATGCGTGTGTGAAAAATGGGAGCTGGTAAGGATGAGTTGAAGACCAATACCCCTGTACCCATGCTGTGCTGTCCAGGGGTGAACATGAAGCAAGGACTAAAAAATCCTTAACATTCCCAAATTCTTGGCTTCCAGGGAGACCCATAAGTGAGGGCCTCGGTGGTGGTGTCCGGAGCCAGTGTCCTGCCCTGTGACTGTAGTGATGACTGTGTCACGGTAACTAAAGGAGAAGGGGGTTTCATGTACATGCTGAGAGATCACCGCAACCTACCTCACTGTGTTGAAACGGGACAAATGCAATAGAACGCATTGGGTGATGTGTGTCTGGTCCTGGGTTCCTGTCTCCCCCAAATGCTGCCCCCCTTCAGTTATTGTATTGTCTGGGCTTTGTAGGACTTCACTGCGTCTCTGAGTTGGTGATTGCTAGGTGGCCTAGTTTGTGTAAATATAATGTGTTGGTCTTTCTCCATGTTCTTTTGGGGTTTTATTGTTTACAAACTTCTTTTTGTATTGAGAGAAAAATAGCCAAAGCATCTTTGACAGAAGGTTCTGCACCAGGCAGAAGGATCTGAAACACGGGAGGCTCTCTTCTTGAAGCGGGGATCTTAAGCTGTCTTTGGTGTTCCCCTTCCCCTATCCTATTCTGGATCTCTGTCCTTAAAATTTGACTCCTAACCTACCCTCTTCTCCATTCCCCCACCCACACTTAAACACTGAATCCTGGGTGTCTCCACACATCTAAAGGATTCATGCAAAAATCCTGAACAAAATAGGAAGCTCCGCCCCTTGTTCCCAACCTCCTGAGTCAAGACCATTTCCTGATGGGACTCATGCCAAAGACTTAAGACACTGATGCATTTGGATGGGTCAGACCTCAATTTATCCGAAAGAAGAGAAGCTATTGGGCACCTTCTGTGTAGAAAAGGGGTTTGGAGATCAAGAAGGGGACTATGAATGTACATCCAAGTCACTCAGGAACTTTTATGCAGGTGCAAGAAACTTATGTCAAAGTGGCCATAAGATTGTTTGATAGGAGACGGACGAATGTAACTCCATGTTTACTGCTAGAAACCAAAGCTTTATGTGAAATCTTGAATTTATGGGCGGGAGGGAGGCAGGGTAGGAAAGCTTGCGTCTGTTCTTTGGCTGACCCCCCCCCCCATTCCTGAACTGCAGGAGAATAAGCCCCCTTGGGTTTGGTGACCCCATCACTGGGGAGTGTGTATTTGAAGGTTGATTTTTGCTGTACTGGGTTCCTCCTTTCCCATTTTCTAATTGCTTTGTAACACATATGCTGACTCTCCCCATCCCTTCTCCTTTCCCTGGGGAAATACAATGAATAAATCAAGACTTATTGGTACTGAAACTGTCATCTCCTTGTCAGTTATTTAGGGTGCTTTTCTCCCAGGATTCCCACCTGCTTGGATGGGGACTCAGAAGTCACAGAAGAACCATTAAGTTTTTCTGTTCGGTCACTTTGTTAAGGAATGAATCTTGAAAGTTCAGTCCTCTTAGCACCTCATTATGGTGGATTTTTGTTTCTAGTTAAGGCTCTTGTCCTCTCCTTGGAAGCTGCCACATTCAAGAGGGGATTAGAGGCTTGGCATGCATAAGAATGGGGTTGCCTGTGCCACTGGCTGGGATGAAAGGATGGGGCCTTGGCTTGGGGCATGAGACCCTAATAATAGTCCCCTACTCCTCAAAGCCCTTTACAAATCGTAATTAATTAACCCCTGCAGCACCCCAAGGAATGGAAATATGTGGAGCTGGGGAAGTTGAGGCCAGAGGAGATTCACTGACTTGATTTAGACAACATTCTCTTTGAGTCAACGTTTGCTAGCCTTCTAATGAACACTGAGTTTTTAAACATTCATCTCCCCCGAGGGGAAGGAGGATTTAAAAAGGATAAAACTTAATTGGAGGCAAACCAAGTATTAACACAAAGTGCAAGGAAACAGAGAAACTGGATTAAATCCTCGAGCCCTGGCAACATTACCAGAGTGAGGGTAGGAAGCTTCCTATCAACTCCAGGGACTTTGTGGCCCCTTAACTAATTGTACCCAGAGTCAGAGGTGACAGTGGATGCTCACAGCCAGCAAACCACTGAGCTTCAGTAAATATTCTTGGAAAACGCAAATAAGCGAGGCTGAAATTTGCTCCTAGGTTGCAAAGCCAGGACGGGAAATGTTCACGGGCGGGTTACTTTTCTCTAGGGCTTTCTTCAAGTATGTTACTCCATACATGACCCTTTCATCGGGGAGTGGAAGGCACACAGTGGCTATGGGATGGACGGTGTGCAACAACTGCTTGATGAGATGAGCCATGCGAAGTGAGAGGCGGACGGTCCTTTGAAAATTCTGTCACCTACGCAAATCATCCATATGGAGGTTGCGCTATGAGTTAAAAGAAAAATACTGGTCGCATGAGATTCTGTAAAGTTTTTTTCCCGTTTTTATTTGAGGAAGTCGAAGTAGCAATTTCTCCTGTGACTCAGTTCTTAAGATTCATGCACCATTTTCTAAAAGCTCTTAAAGCCCTCCCTCCGATCTCTTTAAAAAAAGGATGGGTACAGAGCTGACGCCGATTTTGTCTCCGTTAAATAATGACCTGGGTTTTGCAGAACTCCTTGTAGCCTTACCTCTTGTAGGAACCTGTAAATCCTACCATCTGGGTGCCCTAAAGCAGCACAAAATGGACGGACATTCAGCGCCCCTGTAAGACTAACTGGGGCTAGCAACTGGTTCCCAAACTAAGCACAGAGCAGAAGTATGACTTAAGGCTTGTACCAGGGCTTCTAACGAAGTCAGACCTGCGGCTTCCCAACGTAGTGCCCGGCTACAGAACGACGTCAGCGGCCTAGGGGCGCCTCAACTTGCGAGGCGGGATCCCCTTCGTGCTTAGCTGACGGCACGTTTGCCGGAGGCCGTCCGATCTGGTCCGCAGGCCTCTCGCCTCCCCCTGCCGGGCTGGACCCAGCCTTCCCCAATGCACGGCCCGAAGCCCGGCCGGCCGCCCGCCCGCCCCTGCTCCGTCACGTGGGCTCAGCTTCCACCCTCGCCGCCGCCCGCCGCCAGCGGACGAACGCGCACTGCAGGGCCACAGAGCTCCCGCCGCTCCTTCCACTACCCGGCAGGCGCAGGGCCACGCCCCGCCATTGGCTGGCGGGAGGAGCGTGGCCCAGCGCGCTGCGATGACGTGGTCTTTCAGCGCCGTGTCGTGAGGAAGTGTCGGCCCACTGGAGCCGTTGGAAGAAGCCCAGCGGAGCGGATCAGGTGGTGGGAGGAAGGGGTGAAACGGAGGAGAGGGAGATGGCTGGGCGGGGAGGCAGCTGCGGGAAGGATCGAGGGACAGCCGAGGGAACAGAAAATTACAATACCAGTGAAGTAGGAGGTAGCGAGTGCCGCAACTGCACGGGTTGGTGACTGGGAGCGCAGAATGGGAAATGACTTGGGGGAAGATGGAGGAGGACGCGGCGAATGATCGAGACGTAGGCGCCGTGATGTGGCAGCAAGCAGATGTAGATGTTCAGAAGAAGTGAGTGCAGATAATGAGGAAAATGGCCAGGGGCCAAGGTGCACGAAGCCAGGAGAACCGGAGAGGTCTCATTGGCCGGTGCAGTTCTACGTAAGATTCTCGTGCTAGTCGCGCTGTGCAGTCGGGGATCAATCTCGAGAAATCCGCTGTAGCTGTTTGCAAGCCCTGGTGACGTCTCCCTCTCTTTTCTTGTTTATGCAAGGTTTCCAGACTGGTGTCTTGTTATTCTGGGGTGATCCTCTGACCGGGCGAGAACTATGTCATGGATCAAGGAAGGAGAACTGTCCCTTTGGGAGCGGTTCTGTGCCAACATCATAAAGGTGAGCAGTGGGCCAGAGCACCGGTGGACCTTCTGGTCGTGTGCATAGTCTTGCACCAAAACCTGTTGTTGAATCTGAGCAATGCATGATGTGAAGTGGAACTCAGCAAAGGAACCAAAGAGCATTAAAACTGCAAGGTAACTTCAGATGGCTGTGTCCGCGGATTTTTGTCCTAACTGGGAGCCGGGGTGAGCAGAGACTGTTAGATGTTAGATTTGTTTCTCTGTACGTTGAATCATTGATCCTAGTACCATATGCTGGATTTTTAAAAATTTACTTTTAATTTTTCAATTTATTACTTATTTGAGAGAGAGGGAGGGAGAGGAAGCTTCCGCCTGCTGATTCACTCCCCCACTGCCTGCAGTGGCCAAGGCTGGACTGGTGAAGCCTGAATCTCAGTTCAGGTCTCCCACGTGGCAGGAACTGATGACTTAGCTGTTCCTTTTGCCTCGCAGGTCTGTGTTAGCAGGAAGTCAGACTCTTGAGCCAGAGCTGGCGTCAAACCCAGGTTCTCCGGTCTGGGATGCAGGTGTCTTAACTGCTCTGGATTTAGATGGAAAACTAATCCCCATTTTTGCTTACTGCTCTGAGCCAGATACGTTTTCTTGCTCTGATATACTTACTGAAGGTTATATTTTTATGAAAACCCTGATGTTTGATTCTCTGTAAAATCAGAAGATCCGAAGCACATTGAGTCTCAGGCCCCGGGTGGCATTAGTTGGTTAGGCCTGAGAAGTGGGTGCACCGATTGTGTGTGTGGAAGACGCCTTCTGTGTTGACTGTGCCTGTCAGCATCCTTCCTTTGCCTCCTGGTTGAGGTCCAAGCGAATCGCAGTGGTGGTGAAGAGCATATGATTTTTTAAAAAAGATTTATTTATGCATTTGAAAGGTAGAGTTCCAGAGAGGGAAGGAGAAAGAGAGACAGATCTTCCATCTATGGTTTATTCCCTAAATGGCCTCAATGACTGGGGCTGGTCCAGGCCAAAGCCATCAGCCTGGAACTCCTTCCTGGTCTCCCACTTGGGTAGCAGGCAGCCAAGTGCTTGGGCCATCCTCTGCTGCTTTCCCTGCATTAGCAGGGAGCTGGATCAGAAGTGGAGCGGCTGGAACTCAGACTGGAGCTCACATGGGATGCCAGCGTCACAGGTGGTGACTTAGTCCACTGTACTACAATGCTGGCCTCAAAAGCATATTGTTAAAGATGAACTCTGGGCCGGCGCTGCGGCTCACTAGGCTAATCCTCTGCCTGCGGCGCGGCACTCTGGGTTCTAGTCCTGGTTGGGGCGCCAGTTCTGTCCCGGTTGCTCCTCTTCCAGTCCAGCTCTCTGCTGTGGTCCGGGAGTGCAGTGGAGGATGGCCCAAGTGCTTGGGCCCTGCACCCGCATGGGAGACCGGGAGGAAGCACCTGACTCCTGGCTTCGGATCAATACAGCGCGCCGGCCATAGCAGCCATTTTGGGGGTGAACCAACAGAGGGAAGACCTTTCTCTGTTTCTCTCTAACTCCGCCCGTCAAAAAAAAAAAAAAAAGATGAACTCTGGAAGCAGACAGACTGTAGTGTGAATGTCTACTTTGCATCTTCTGAGCTGTTTGACTTGTGCAAATCACTTGATCTCAGTGAGCCCAGTTTTTTATCTATAAAACTGATGTGATACCATTTACCTTATAGAGTTGTAAGATAGATGAAGTAGGAAGAGCCCAGTTTAGTATTTGGCATGTAATAAGTCCTCAATAAATATATAAATAAAAACAAATGAAAGTGCCGAATGCTCTTTTATTGAGCTACAAGTGTGAAATGTCTAATTCTGTTCCCCAGCAATTTTATCATATAGCCCAACCCTGTCAGCCTGAGGGATAGTGCTCCCCTCATCCCCAGAGAATAGGAGATCTGTTCATCCGTCTTCTTGTCCCACAGGCAGGCCCCATGCCCAAACACATCGCATTCATAATGGATGGGAACCGCCGTTATGCCAAGAAGTGCCAGGTGGAGCGGCAGGAGGGCCACTCTCAAGGCTTCAACAAGCTGGCTGAGGTGGGTGTGGGTGGCAGAACCCAACGTGAACAATCCATAGAGGACTGGGCTCTGGGTTTGCTATGGTCTGAGTGTTTTGATAGCTCATTCTCTGTTTTATTGCTTGCTTGCTAACTCTGTGTCTGTCATCCAGTAACATTTTTTTTGAAGAAATGGTCACAGACATTAGTTCCCTGTTTCTTTTTTTTTTTTTTTTTTTTAAGATATATTTTTATTTACTTGAAAGACAGAATCACAGAGAGAGGTTGAGACAGAGAGGGAGAGAGGCCTTCCACCTGCTGGTTCACTCCCCAAATGGCCACAATGGCCAGAGCTGAGCTGATCCAAAGCCAGGAGCCAAGAGCTTCTTCTGGGTCTCCCATGTGGTTGCAGGGGCCCCAAGTACTTGGCCCATCCTCCACTGCTTTCCCAGGCACACTAGCAGGGAGCTGGATCGGAAGTGGAGCAGCCAGGACTCAAACCAGCGCCCATATGATATGTCAATGCTGCAGGCTGGGGCTTTAACCTGCTGTACCACAGCGCTGGCTCCCATCCAGTAAAATCTTAAAGAAAACAAAATATTAGAGATGAGAACAAAATTGCTTCTTCTTACCATCTTAATAAGTTTTAATATTGTAAGTTTTATCCAATTTTTATAATATGTCCTACACAATTTAGCATTTATAAAATTGAATTCATGGCTTCAGTTTACCTTAGTTCTACATGACATTTTGGCAAGTATGTTTCTAGGTTGAGCTATAGCCTTTCTAACTCTATGTTCTCATGACTGTAGAACATTTTATCATGAGGTATTGACCTGATCTGTTTTGCTGCTCTACTGTTATTGGGTACTATAAATAGTAGTTTTAGGATAAATTCTTAGAAGTGACGTTTCTGGAGCAAAAGTTGGGTGACTGCCCATCCTGCTTTGTCCGGGCTGAGGGGTCTCTCAGGGCATAGACCTTTCAGTGTTGAGCTGGGGACAGTGCTAGGCAGACTGGGGCATTACTGCACAGGCACCCCGAGCACTTTTTGGTTTGAATGCATGTTGCAGATTGGAATATATTACATTTCACAGTAAGAATGTAACAATGCAACCTTTATGAAACTAAGAAGATTGGAAATATGGTTCATAGCCCACAGGACCAGGCCCAAGAACATGGCCTAATTCCAAGGCAGCAATATTTTTGCCTTGATTGAGTGGCAACGGAGTCCTCTCTAACACTATCCAGAAGTCTTTAAGTTTTTAGACCCAGCTCTTTTGTAACTAACTGTGAGGCGCAGTGCTTAAGATTTAGGCTATGGAGACACTTAGAACTCAGTGGCACCCTTGCTGTTCTACTTCCTGGCTTTTTGACCTGCAGCAAGTCATGTGGCTTCTCTTTGCCTCAGTTTCTTCATCTGTAAAACGGGGTTAGCAATCATCTCTATCTTAGGAGATTGACAATTAAACAAGATGCAAAATGCAAAGCATGTGGCACAGGGCCTGACACAAAGGAAATGCTCAAAAAATTGACGTGTAAGTGTGGCAGCTATGTTGACTGAGGTCAGTGCCTTGCAAGGTCTGTGAGGCCTAAACCTGTTCAAGTGTCGTGTTCTCCCTGGAATTTTCTTGAAGTAGAAGTGGATTTGCTTGCATGCATGTCTGTTAAAGGATTAGGATATTTATTTGAAAGACACTCTGCAAGTGAGTGTGAGGAGAGAAAAGGAGAGATCCATCTTCTATCTGCAGGTTCACTCCCCAAAGAGCTACAACAGTGGGCAGGGCCAGGCTGAAGCCATCTGCCAGAAGCTTCACCAAGTCTCCCCTATGAGTGGCAGGGATGTGTGCATTTGAGCCATTATCCACTGTCTTCCCAGGCACATCAGCAAGAAGCTGAATCAGAAGTGGAGTGGCCAGGACTTGAACTGGCGCTCTGATATGGGATGCAGGCCTCTCAAATGGTGGCTTAATTCACTGCACCACAACACCTGCCCTAATTCTCTACCTCTGACTCCAGTGCCCCATGTCAACATTGGTGTTCTCAGCTCCAGCCTGCTCTCTACTTTCAGTGGTGCTGCTATATAGCAGCCTCAGAAGACTAAGTATAAATATGAATTTCAGTTCTTTTAAAATTGAGAAATAATTTCATAGAGTGAAAAGCACAGATTTTGGGGCTTTGACAATTGGCATTCATCTTTCTAAACCAGGGGTGGGGAATATCTGGCCCACGGCCTGAAATCATTTAGTCTGGCCTTGCCAAGACAACTGCAGGTGGGACTTAAAATTCAATAAATCTGTACCTGGCTAATTTTTAAGTTGATAATTTTATATGGACTGCAAATGATGTTGTAAATATCCAAATGACCATTGGCAGAATAGAAGATTCCCCATCCCAATAACCCATATTCCTGACAGTGTAGAACCATCTCTCTAGAAAATTCCTTCATGTCCCTTTCCTAGTTACCTCTGACCCACCTCCACCTTCTTTCTCTACTACTACTGTTTTGATTTCTGTAATGATAGATTAATTTTGCCTGTCCTAGAACATCTTATAATAAATCATACAATAGTTTTGTAGATTTTTGACTTTTTTTTAAGATTTATTTATTTATTTATTTATTTGAAAGGCAGAGTTACAGAGAGAGAAGGAGAGACAGACAGAGAGATCTACTACCTGCTCCCCAGATGGTCACAATGGCTGGGGCTAGGCCAGTCCAAAGCCAGGAGCCAAGAGCTTCAATCTGGGTCTCCCATGTTGGTGCAGGGGCCTAGGAACTTGGGCCATCTGCTGCTGCTTTTCCAGGTGTATTAGCAGGGAGCTAGATCAGAAGTGGAGCAGCCGGGACTTGAACCAGTGTCTATATGGGATGCCAGTGCAGGCCACGCCTCAACCTGCTGTGCTACAGTGCTGGCTCTGATTTTTGGCATTTCTTCAATTATGAGCCTATTTTTATTTTATTTATTTAATTTTTACAGGCAGAGTGGACAGTGAGAGAGAGAGAGACAGAGGGAAAGGTCTTCCTTTGCCGTTGGTTCACCCTCCAATGGCCGCCGCGGCCGGCGCACTGCGCTGATCCAATGGCAGGAGCCAGGTGCTTCTCCTGGTCTCCCATGGGGTGCAGGGCCCAAGCACTTGGGCCATCCTCCACTGCACTCCCTGGCCACAGCAGAGAGCTGGCCTGGAAGAGGGGCAACCGGGACAGAATCCGGCGCCCCGACCGGGACTAGAACCCGGTGTGCCGGCGCCACAGGTGGAGGATTAGCCTAGTGAGCCGCGGCACCGGCCGAGCCTATTTTTATTATCTATGAATTAGGCATGAAAACATTTTGAAGTGGTTATTTTAAGAATCAAATAAAATAATGTCTGTGAAAACTCTTTGCAGACTATTAAATGCCTCACAGTCATCCCGTTGTTGCTTTTATTCCTGTAATGCATCACCCTCTCAGTCTCTCCGAATCGTGTAGTTTCCTTGTGTTTTCTGTGGTTCATTAACCGCTTGGTAGAGATGCACTGTGATCCCGTTTTACAGACAGGAGACAGAGGCCCAGAGAGGTTAAATGATTTGCCTGTGTGTTCACATAGGATGCAGTCAGAGACTAGAGCTTAGATCTTCATGCCCTCAGTGGAGTGTTCTTCCCAATAAGTAAAAATGGCTTCAGCATAGTACTAAGACCACATTTTTCAGTTTCTTAAATGGTGTTTTCTGCTTATTTGGTCCATTAGTCTAACATAAGCACCGGTGTTATCCTACCTTACCCAGGTTTGGAGAGCAGAAAAATCTCTCTCCCACCTCCAACTCCAAGTCAGGGCCAAAGTACTCTTACTTCCCTTCTCGTTCCTCCTTGTATCCCATCTCCTTGCCTTCTCCCCTCTTAGACTCTGCGCTGGTGTTTGAACCTGGGCATCCTTGAGGTGACGGTCTACGCATTCAGCATTGAGAACTTCAAACGCTCCAAGAGTGAGGTAGACGGGCTAATGGATCTGGCCCGGCAGAAGTTCAGCCGCTTGATGGAAGAACAGTAAGATGCTGTCAGAGGAGAGAATGTGTCTTCGTGTGACCTCCAATCTCCCCTGACCCTCACAACTCTTGTCTCCCCTGACCCTCACTACTCTTGTTACCTGAGGCTTACTTAAGGGTCTCTGACTTTTCAGTGTTCGATCTCTTGGGTGGCAGACATCACAAATGGGAACTATTCTTTCTTTCTGCCTGTTAAAGTGGGTATTTATTTGAGGACATTGAAATGTTTCACAAAATTCAAGGAATTACAGTCAGCCTCAGGCATAGCTGAAACCAGGGATTAAAATCAGTGAGGTAGAGCCTCTTCCACACTCCCTCCTGTCTCTGTGACCAGCTCTCTGCCTCAAGAGAGCAGCCCAGAATGAACTAAATCCTTTAATTGGCCTACTTTTGATCATGTTTCTGCCCCAGAACCAGTGGACTGTGGACGGGGGTCTAGAGTGAAAGCAGCTTGAGGAAGTCTTTTTCTGCTGCGTGGTGATCCCTAAAGTGTACTCTGCACCCTGCATTGTCTTCCTGAGGGGATGGGTGAGGCATGAGAAATGTAGTGTCATTCTTAGCTGTTGCTGAGTCTGGGATTAACTTAGGGAACAAAGTCAAAAAGGAGCAAAGAGAAGTTCAGTGGAGATTGTTTGCTTCAAAATGTGGAGCCCTCACCTCACTACAGAATTGCCTGTACATCCTCATTACAGCCCTTGTCTGCCCAGCTCCTGCCTATGCCAGGACAATAAAAAGAGGATTCTAGAGCTGTGTTAGAGATGGGTCCAGCCCAACTTGCTAGGCAACTGGTTCTGTTATTTCTGGCCCTTTGTGGGCCAGGATATTGGGGAGGGTAGCCAGGCTTCTCTCTGCTTGTATTGGGGTGTGGAGACTCTGGATCAAAGACATTACTCTCTCGTGTCCCTGTTTGGCTCAGAGTTTACTGCCCAAGGGGCTGGGGATGGAAGCTTGAGGTTTAAAAAAAAGGGGGCTGGGGGGGAACGCAGCAAAGGTGAGGCACACACGCTGTCACACAGCTGTCAGGCAGGCAGAGCCAAGGGCACACCTGGATCTCCCTGACTCCAGAGATGAGCTGTTGTCTACTACACTGTTCTAAGACAGAACTACTGTTCTACAAAATCAAAATGTGCCGGCGCCGCGGCTCACTAGGCTAATCCTCCGCCTAGCGGCGCCGGCACACCGGGTTCTAGTCCCGGTCGGGGCGCCGGATTCTGTCCCGGTTGCCCCTCTTCCAAGCCAGCCCTCTGCTGTGGCCAGGGAGTGCAGTGGAGGATGGCCCAGGTGCTTGGGCCCTGCACCCCATGGGAGACCAGGAAAAGCACCTGGCTCCTGGCTCCTGCCATCGGATCAGCGCGGTGCGCCGGCCGCAGCGCGCCGGCCGCGGCGGCCATTGGAGGGTGAACCAACGGCAAAGGAAGACCTTTCTCTCTGTCTCTCTCTCTCTCACTGTCCACTCTGCCTGTCAAAAAAAAAAAAAAAAAATCAAAATGCGTGGCACCAGAGCTGTCACTAAGATTGCGCTAATCAGTTAGTAGTGGAGAAAGCAGTTGTAGTTTGACAGGAAGTCCCAACCAGAGCAAAAAACCTTAAAGGTGTTTTTCTGACAATATGCCATGCAACCCCATAGTTCCGAGGGGTGGATGTGAGAAGAACCCAGCACGAATGGGGTCTGGGGTGCTAGTTTGAGTTGAAACAAGTTTGTGAGCCGGAAAACCATTAGCCCAGTTCAGTTTGTCATCGGGAAGCTAAAAACCCGTGAAGAGAAGGGCTTTCCCCAGTCACAGCAAGCTCGTGGCAGAGCCTGGTCAAGAACCCAGATCTCCGGGCTCTTCACCGGCGCTTTGGCAGCTTCTCCTCTTGCAGACCTCACCAAAGTTCAGCCTCTGCTGTCTGAGAATAAGCAGGCACTGTCATGTGCCTATTCTCACTTATCATATGCCTAGGAGGGGAGAATATGGCAGGGATGGTTGTCATCACCAGCTTACAGGTATGGAGGCAAGCAGGTAGAAACTGAGCCTGAGAGAAGCCAAGTATTTATGCACGCTTAGCTGATAAGAGCGGGCAGTAGGACTCGAATCTAGCTGTTTTTCAGATTTTGCTTTGATTTGACCAGAGATTTGTCTGCACTGTCTCTGGTAGATTCTGAAAAATGGGTGATGAACCTTGATGGTGTGTGGCCGGAGTTTATATAGGGTGGACGGGCTATGAGTGTGGCCTTTGGGTCTAGATCAGGGTACTCTAGGAGGTACCTGATACCCCCGTCCCACAGTAGGCTTCTCGTTGCTAAGCTCTCCTTTCCCAGACATGAAGTGTTGGTTTTCTCGGTAGTGTTCCTGGGTGAGCAGGGCTGGTTAGGTAGCGGTGAGGTCATCCTCACTGTCAGTTCAGGGGTTACTGTGTGGAAGTAGTGTCCTGTCGTGATCAAGGACAGGCTCTGGAGCCAGCCTCTTCAGGGTCAAGTCCTTATGTCCATTCACCAGCTGACTGAAAATCCTTATTTCCAACTTCCACGTGCCTCCATTTTCTTGTCTGGAATAATGGTTCATACCTCATGGCATGAGGATGGACTGTGTTGGTGCAGGTAAAGCATTGAGACCCATGCCTGGTGCTTAGGAAACATTAATGTTAGCTGTTTCACCAGAACATAACAAAAGTAACAGCAACAGCTCCTGCCCTGGAGTGTTCATTTGGCAGAATGGGACAAGTATCACAGAGAGCGCACCTTGCCAACGGTGTAAAGTGCGGTTAAGAGTTTAGGTTCTCGAATCCGACCCAGGTTTCAGTCCTGACACAGCAGTTGGTGACTGTGTGACCTTGGACAGTGCCTGTCTGACTGTCCTGTCTGAGGCTCAGTGCTGTGGTAGACTTTCAGGGTTGCTGAGGGGACACAGTGAAAGAAGACACGTGGGACGGTGCCTGACACACAGGGGAGCATCACAAACTGGTAGCTGATTGTAGTTTAAGCACTGTGTCTTCTCCAGCTCAGCAGGTGCTCTGCCCCGACTCTGCCTCCTTTTCCCCAATCAGGGAGAAACTGCAAAAGCATGGAGTGTGTATCCGTGTCCTGGGTGACCTACATTTGTTGCCCTTGGATCTCCAGGAGCTGATTGCACAAGCTGTACGGGCCACTAAGAACTACAACAAGTAAGCTCTGAAGGAATCTGTCAGTTTTTGACTCTGTTTGCTTTAGGGAGACGCACTTCTTTGGTCTTCCCTGGTCTGTGTTTGGTGTGGGACAGTGAGGGAGTACTTTGAGATACTTGCACTGCCTCCTTCCATGCGGAGGACATTCTGCAGTACCGTGACACATGTGTGTATACATATACACGTATACAGTGTCTCATACCCTTGCTCCTTCATGTGCCCACCTCTGCTTTGATACATGTGTACACTGTGTTTGTGTGTGTGTGTGTGTGTGTGTCTTTAACTTGACAAGGGATGGGGTGGGAATGCAATAGCCCTCATCCCTGGCTCTTAGAAAACAGATCCTTCAAGAAATTCTTTTTCTGTCTCATTCCTTTAACCCTGAATAGTGTGAGCCTGGGAAGTCGTGCAGAGGGGAATAGATCAGTAACCCAAACTTCATCATGTGTGGCTTTGGAGCGTGATGTGTGGCAGTGGATTTGCTCTACACCAGATCTCCTTCCCTTCCTCCTTTCTTGTGTTGGTGTCACAGTGGATTCAAATGCTCTGAAAACTGGTTGGCAGTGGAAGGGGCTGAAAAGGTCGGGGGCCAATTAGGGCTGTTTAGTATTTGTTTTATAAAACTACTGCCATGTTACTCCAGGAAAACACACACAAAAAACTTGCTTTCTCACCTTTGAGAAAGGTCTGCAGTTACCCTTGGTTTGTGTGTGTTCTTTAAAGGAAGAGTCGCTCTGTAATCCATGACTCCAGCCATCAGTCCCTGACCCTGTTTGGTAGATCATTCTGGTCTTCCCTCCTCAGGTGTTTCCTGAACGTGTGCTTTGCATACACATCCCGTCACGAGATCAGCAACGCTGTGAAAGAGATGGCCTGGGGAGTGGAGCAAGGCCTGCTGGATCCCAGGTATCCCAAGTTGTTTCATGTGGTGACAGACAGGGAGAAATGCACGTGCCAGACCATACAACCAACCCGTGCCTGTACTTCACCAGAAGTCAAAATGGGATTTATAAAGACTTCCCCGGTACAGAGGTTAGGATGAGTTAGTGCAGCCTACCTCAGCATTTGAGTTTACTGCATGCCAAGAAACCCCAGAGAAACGGCAAATCAGGCAGCAAGGCCTTGTCATTCAGTAAGACATGAGACCCTGTGGCTCTTCAGGAAGGTATTTTGTTGAGATTGGGGTCTTTCAGGATTCTCGTGTTACAGCTCCAACAACATTGCAGTACCAAGAAGATTGTCAGTCACTGGGAACATGGAATCCTAATTGTTAGAGCTAGGAGGGACTTCAGAAGCTACCTATACATTACTATTTATGTAACTTTTAGTAATAATATTAGCGAATAATAAGGTATTTTAAAGAAGTTCTTGGAAAGTAGAATTAACAGATAAGTTTACGAGTGGGCCTTTGGCCTGGCACTAAGGTGCCAGCTGATCTATCTGCCTCCCATATTGGAGTGCCTAGTTCATGTCCCAGGTCTGTTCCCAGTTTTAGCTTCCTGCTAGTGGGAATCCTGGGAAGCAGCAGGAGATGGTTCATGTAATTGAGTCCTGCCACCCACATGGGAAACCTGGATTACATTCCTGGCTCCCAGCTTCAGACCAACCCAGACCTTGCTTTTGCAGGCAAAGTAAATAAAAAATCAATAAATTGCTCATTCTGAATGGAATAAGAAAGTGACACTTTTATATATAGGTTTATTTATTTATTTGAAAGGCTGAGTTAGAGGCAGCCATCTGGTTCTTCCTCCTGGGTTACGGAGGCCCAAGGACTTGGCCAGTCTTCTGCTTTCTCAGGCACATCAGCATCTCATGTGCATCAGCAAGGAGCTGGGTCAGAAGTGGAGCATGCAGGACGCTAACTGGTGCCACATGGAACACTGGCATCACAGGCAATGGCTTAATTTCGCTGTGTCACAACAGTGACCCAAGAGTAATTTTTTTTTTAAGATCTATTTATTTATTTGAAAGGTGGAGATACAGAGAGAGAGAGAAAGAGATCTTCCATCTGTTGGTTCACTCCCCAAATGGCTGCAATGGCCAGGGTTGGGCCATGCCAAAACCAGGAGCTTCTTCTGGGTCTCCCACGTGGGTGGCAGAGGCCCAAGGACTTGAGCCATCTTTGACTGCCTTCCCAGGCACATTAGCAGGGAGCCAGATTGGAAGTGGAGCAGCCAGGACAAATAGGATGGCAGCACTGCAGGCGGCAGCTTAACCTTCTACGCCACAGCACCAGCCCCCAGCAGCAACATTTTTAAAAGCTACTTTATGATTGTCTTTCCTCCATAACAGTTAAGTCATCTTCCTGTGTCACATAGTTCATTGATTAAATCATTCACTCATTCAACACATTTTTTTGGTTAATTTTTATATATATATTTGAGAGACAGCCAGACAGACAAAGCAAGCTCCCATCTGCTAGCCCACTTCCTAAGCCAGGGCTGGGTTAAGGCCAAAGCTGGGGGCCAGGAACACAATTTATTTAAGTGCCAACTTTTTTATTTTTTTATTTTTTTTTAATTTATTTGACAGATAGAGTTATAGACAGTGAGAGAGAGACAAAGAGAAAGGTCTTCCTTCCGTTGGTTCACTCCCCAAATGGCACTACGGCTGGCACTGCGCCGATCTGAAGCCAGGAGCCAGGTGCCTCTTCCTGGTCTCCCATGGGGTGCAGGGCCCAAACACTTGAGCCATCCTCCACTGCCCTCCCGGGCCACAGCAGAGAGCTGGACTGGAAGAGGAGCAACCAGGACTAGAACCGGTGCCCACATGGGATGCCGGTGCCACAGGCAGAGGATTAACCAAGTGAGCCACGGTGCCGGCCTCAAGTGCCAACTTAAAAACACACATTGCTATACACAGGGATTCAGTGGTGAGAGTAAGTATATATTTCCATGGGGCTGGCGCTGTGGTATAGTGAATTAAGTGACCACCTGCAAGGCCGGCATCCCATATGGCCACCAGTTTGAGTCCGGATGCTCCACTTCAAATCTAGCTCCCTGTTAATGTACCTGGGAAAGCAGCAGAAGATGGCCCAAGTGCTTGGGCCCAGACACCCATGTGGGAGACACAGGAGAAGTTCCTGCTGGCTCCTGACTTGAGCCTGTCCCAGCCCCAGTCATTGCATCCATTTGGGGAGTGAACCAGCAATTAGAAGATCTCTTTGTCTCTCCTTTTCTCTCTTTAACTCTGCCTTTCAAGTAAATAAATACTACATCTTTTTTTTTTTTTTTAAGTGACAATATGATAAGGCCTAGGATTTGCTTTTTTAGTATTTATGTATTTGAAAGACAGAATTGCAGAGAAAGAAAGAGAGGCAGAACAGAGAGATCTTCCATTCACTGGTTCATTCCCCAAATGGCCACAACAGCCAGGGTGGGAGAGACTGAAGCCAAGAGCCGGGAGCTTTTTCCAGGTCTCCCTCATGGGTGAAGGGGCCTAAGGACTTTGGCCATCTTCTGCTGCTTTGCCAGGCCATAGCAGGGAGCTGGATGGGAAGTAGAGCAGCTGACTTAAACCAGCCCCCATATGGGATGCCAGCATCACAGGCAGCGGCTTTACCTGCTACACCACAATGCTGGCCACAATAAATAAATCTTCTTTTAACAAGAAGAATTTATAAAAAGAGAAGTGGACCTGCAGAGAAGGTCCCCCAAAGAAATGAGTAGTGACCTGTGTAAGCAGAAAGAATAAGAACTGCTAGAGACGGGGGCGGGAGTGTAAGGAGCTCATTGACTGAAGAGACTGTGGGTCTAATTCAAGTAGAGAGTGTCAGGAAGGGAGCTTAGATTATGGCGGTGGTGCTGGAATGGATAGAGAGGACCACATCAAGGGCTACAAAGTAGGTAAAATCAAGAGGGCTTGATGGACTAACTCTGGGGAAAGGTGTCCAGGGTCTGTGACTTAGGTAACAGTGGATAGTCGTGTCCTTTATGTTGCTGAAGAAAGCCAGAAGTTTGGCTGTGGCTGTTGATGTAGATGTTGAGCTGGCAGTTAAAGGGGTTGGGATGGAAATAGCAGTGTGGAGGTCATTTGTGTGGCGGGGAGGTAGTATGCAGAAACAAAGGGGGTCTAGAGTGAGAAAAGAGGGTGGGTCTAGGAAGCTTTACCTTTACAGGCTGGATACAGGAGAGTGAGCCTTCGAGGAAAGAGAATAAACAGCCAGAGAGGTAGGAATAAAATGAGGTAGCCAGTGTTACAGAAGCCAAGAGAAGAGGAAGTTTGTTGATGCAGGATGGGGAGAGCCATGGGCACTGGTGAGAATACCATTGTTGAATACTATTCAGAGGTCAGATAAGATGTGGATTGTTAGGCCGGCGCCGCGGCTCACTAGGCTAATCCTCCGCCTAGCGGAACCGGCACACCGGGTTCTAGTCCCGGTCGGGGCGCCGGATTCTGTCCCGGTTGCCCCTCTTCCAGGCCAGCCCTCTGCTGTGGCCAGGGAGTGCAGTGGAGGATGGCCCAGGTGCTTGGGCCCTGCACCCCATGGGAGACCAGGAAAAGCACCTGGCTCCTGGCTCCTGCCATCGGATCAGCGCGGTGCGCCGGCCGCAGCGCGCCGGCCGCGGCGGCCATTGGAGGGTGAACCAACGGCAAAGGAAGACCTTTCTCTCTGTCTCTCTCTCTCACTGTCCACTCTGCCTGTCAAAAAAAAAAAAAAGATGTGGATTGTTGGGGACTGCATTGTGGCCTAACAGGTTAAGCCACTGTCTGCAATGCTGGCATCCCACATTGGCACCAGTTCAAGTCGCAGCTGCTCCACTTGTGATCCAGCTCTCTGCTAATGTGCCTGGGAAAGCAGCGGAGGGTGGCCAAAGTCCTTGGGTTCCTGCTGCCCATGTGAAAGACTTGGATGAAGCTTCTGGCTCCTGGCTTTGGCTTAGCCCAGCTCTGGCCATATGGTCATTTGAGGAGTGAACCAGCAGACAGAAGATCTATCTTTCCCTTTAATCTTAAAAAAATAAATATATAAGGCCGGTGCCTCAGCTCACTAGGCTAATCCTCCGCCTGCAGCGCCAGCACTGCGGGTTCTAGTCCCGGTCGGGGCACCGGATTCTGTCCTGGTTGCCCCTCTTCCAGGCCAGCTGTCTGCTGTGGCCCGAGAGGGCAGTGGAGGATGGCCCAGGTCCTTGGGCCCTGCACCCGCATGGGAGACCAGGAGGAGGTGCTTGGCTCCTGGCTTCGGATCGGTGCGGCGCGCCAGCCACAATGTGCCAGCCATAGCGGCCATTTGGGGGGTGAACCAATGGCAAAAGGAAGACCTTTCTCTCTGTCTCTCTCACCGTCTAACTCTGCCTGTCAAAAAATTTTTTTTTAATTAAAAAATAAATAAATAAATAAGATATGCATCATTAGGGTTGGCTTTGTGGCTCAGCAGGTTAAACTGCTGCCTGGGACACCAGCATCCCATATAAGCACAGGAAGATGGCCCAAGTGCTTGAGCCCCTGCACCCACAGAGGAGACCTGGAGGGAGTACCAAGCTCCTGGCTTCAGCCTGACCCATCCCTGGCTGTTGCCACCATTTGAGGAGTAATCCAGTAAATAGAAGCTCTCTCTCTCTAACTCTGCCTTTCAAATAGAAAAATCTTTTTCTTTTTTAATTTAAAGATGTAGATTGTTGAGGAAAAGACAGGGTACTGGTTAAATTGGTGGTAGGAGGCAAGTAGGAGGATGACAGAAAGGGATACACAAAAATAAGTAGATAGAAGTTATTGATACTGTTCTAATTCGTAGCTTGTTATTCATTGTGTTCATTATGTTATTGTCCTTTATAATTAATGTGTTTCAATACAATATAAAATAGTATATTAAAAATAATATGCTAGAAAGCCCTTGGGCAAGTAGGTTTAATATATGTTCATGCCTAGGACTGGAATTCTGGTCTTGCCTCCTGTCTGGTGTGTTT